GAGCCCGTCTGCTGCAGGCCCGTCTGCTGCGAGCCCGTCTGCTGCACACCAGTCTGTTGCACACCTGTGTGCTATGAAGCTTCCCTCTGCTCAACCTCCTCATGTGGCCAGCAGTCCAGCTGCCAGCCCTCATGCTGCACCTCCTCCCCCTGCCAGCAGGCCTGCTGTGAGCCCGTCTGCTGCAGGCCCGTCTGTTGCACTCCTGTCTGCTGCAGGCCCGTGTGCTGTGAATCCTCCCCCTGCTCAGCCTCCTTGTGCTGCCAGCCCAACCCCTGCTCCTCGGTCAGTTGCAGACCCTCCTCCTCCGTTTCCCTGCTCTGCCGCCCCGTGTGCCGCCCCGCCTGCTGCGTGCCCGCCTCCTCCTGCCAGCCCAGCTGCTGCCGCCCGGCCTCCTCTGTGTCCCTGCTCTGCCAGCCCGCATGCTCCCGCCCAGCCTGCTGTGTCCCTGCCTTGGCCCTGAGGCCCTGCTGCTGAGTGTTCCTCTCAAGGTCACCCCAAAGTGAGAGCTCACAGTCATCTGCAACCTTGGACTCCTTACTGATAGCCTAGACAGCTTTCCCGTCGCCGCCCCAGGCCCTGCCGTGAAGGCTGCCAGGTCACCCCTCTTGGGAATGGCACACCCACTTCTTCCAGTGCCGACTCCCCTCCCCCCAACCCTGTCCCGTGTCAACCTTCCCTCCACAACCTGACTTGGCAGCCCAGCTCTCCCAGGGGGTTGAGCCTCACGTGGCATGAAGGAAGAGAAGATAAATGCTTGGAGTTGGTTTCATCCTCGTCCTCTGAGCTCTGCTGCGACCCCTGCTCCTCCGCTCCTTCCTAAGCTGGTTTCAATTTCCCCTCCCCTGTGAGCTGCCAGTCCCTTCCAATAAATTCCTTTCCTGACCAGTTTAACCACAGTTCATTTCTGTTGTTTCCAACTAAGACCCTTGCTGGACACTCCCCCATGTAAGGTGGTCCTGGGTCACTCCCAAGGGCTTCTGTTCCTGCCCCTTCGGTGGTGTCCGGGAGCCCCCACTCCAGAAAGATGAGCCCCTCGGCCCCGGGCAGGAGAGCGCACAGCAGGCCTGGGACACTGTCCTCAGGTGGGGGGAGCAGGACTGTGCTTGTGGGGAGGGGTCTCTATGGGGGGGCCGCAGCCGTCTGCACAACTGTGAGGCATGTGCTGCACACCTGCTCTCGCTCGGGGGCCCGGGCCTTGGTGCCAGGCGAAGGGTGCCCATGTGACCAGCCCCCGACAAACTCTCTGGGGGCGTGTCTCCCAGGAGCTCCTTGCTGGAGGATCAAGTGCACCCGTGTGACCTGGCCAGGAGGGCCTCGGGAGGCCTGTGTCTAGCGCCCCTCGACTTCTCCCCAGGCCATGGTCCCTGTGCTGATTTACTCTGTGTTGAGTCCTGTGAGATCTAGGGGATCACCAGACCTCTGGTGGTGCGGACCCCAATACCCATCAGACCGGCAAAAATGTTCACGTTTGAGAACAACAAGCATGGTCTGAAGTATATGAAACAAGATCTGCTCTGAGATGCAGGCAAGGTTTCCAGTTTTTCAGAGTAGGTTAGTAACACCTGGGAAAGCTGTACGGGTGCACACCTTACCCCCCCCCCCAAGGGGTGGCCTCCTGGGGATGATATCACATGTCTGCACATGAAACCCACACAGGTCATCTCGCAGCAATGCTGGAAATAACCTAAGTGCCCCTCAGTAGGAGAATGGACAAGTAAACCACAGCGTGTACACACAAGGCGGATACACAGTGGTTAAAACAGCTGAACCAGGGAAACACATCTAGGAGTGAATTCCAAAACATAACATCGAGTAAAAAGAAAATCATATTACTGATTAATACATGCAGAGTAATACATATACACAGGTCAAAACACTACTTTGACTCCACACTATAAACATCTCTATGAAACTACAAAAATTACCATGGGAATGACAGACATCAGCCTCAGAACAGTGGCTCACCTGGTGGAGGCATGTGGAGAGTGCATGGTACCTGTGATGTGCCGAAAACTCGGCAAAATGTAAAGACTTGTTACTTGTTACTGATTTGTAGATGTGTGGGTATTTATTATACTATTTTCTATACTTTCTGAAATATAATTTAAAAAAACTACCTAGAAAAGTAAAAGGCTGTTACACAGACCACAGTCCGGAGCCAGATTCAATAAGATAAACTTGCAATAATTAAAAGAAAATTTCCTCTAGAGAATTCAAAGGTGGTCTCTCCACTTCCCAGGTAGTGCCAGTGGTAAAGAATCCACCCACCAACGTGGGAGACATAAGAGACGAGGGTTAGATCCCTGGATGGGGCAGATCCCTTGGAGGAGGGCATGGCAACCCACCACAGTATTCTTGCCTGGAGAATCCCCATGGACAGAGGAGCCTGTCGAGCTACAGTCCATAGGGTCACAAAGAGTTGGACATGACTGAAGCGACTTAGCACACCAGTTGAGGAAATAGAAACCTAATTACAAACTCTCTAAAAATAAATGAAGCACGTACTACACCCTAGGACACATGTGGTTTAGGTAAAGTAGTACCCAGGGAGTAAATGAAACCCTTAAAGACATATAGCACAGAGTAGGTGGGATTGAAAATAAAATCTCAACTCAGAAAGTTAGGAAAACTTCAGAAAGGAGAGGAAAGAAATAAATTAGCAAAATTAAGGAACTAAGAACAAAGAAAGAAATAGTAAACATAAACAACAACACTAAATATTTGCTTTTAAAAGATCTACAAAAGAATTTAAATGTCAACAAATCTAAAAGAGAACTGAACTAACTGAAGATAAAGAAAAGAGTTTATGAGAAAAAGCTACATCTGGGCGTCAACACGAGCAAAATTTTTAGGTGAAGGTGGTAATTTTCTAGGAATATCAACCTTGGAGTTAGTGCAAGAAAAGGTGCAGAACTGGATGGCAGTGATCACAAAGGAACTCAGGGGAATGCTTTCTGGGGCAGTAGGTACCAGATCCAGACACTGGTACAATGACAGAAAATAGACCAATGGAACTCAATTGTGTCCAGTAACTGCCCACACCTGTGCTGACACTTGGTTCACAATCAGGGTGTCACTGGAATTTCATTGGTGGTGATAGTACTGGACGACCAGATATCCGCATGGGAGGAAGTGAGCTTTGCCTATCCTCACAGCACACATACACATATTGACTGGAGGTAGATTATAGAGCTGAATGTGGAAGGCAAAATATTGAAGATCTAGAATAATACACTGAACAATGTCTTCATGACACTGTGGTAGGCAAAGACTTTTGAAGCAGGGCATAAAAGAACATTAAGCATAAAAGGAAAGAATCAATAAATTGGACTTCATTAGAATTAAGACCCATTCACAGAGAGGTAAAACCGTCATTATATGCAGATGACATGATACTACACATGGAAAACCAAAAAGATTCCACACAAAAGCTACTAGAACTGATAAATGAATTCAGCAGGGTCGCATGATACAAGATTAACACGCAGAAATCAGTTGCATTTCTTTACACTAACAATGACATATCAGAAAGGGAAAAGAAAAAAAACATTCTTTTAAAATTGCATCCAAAATAAAATAAAATTGCATCCAACAAGAGACACAACTTGGGAATAAACCTGATCACAGAGGTGAAAGACTTATATGCAGAGAACTATAAAATATCAATAAAGGAAACTGAAGAAGTGAAAAGATATTCAATGCTCTCGGTTTGGAAGAATTAATATTGTTAAAGTGGCTGTGCTACCCAAAGCAATCTACAGATTTAAAGTAACCCCTATCAAATTACCCACATTTTTCACAGAACTAGAACAAATAGTTCTGAAATTTATATGGTACCATAAAAGTCCCAGAATTGCCAGAGCAAGCCTGAAGAAAAAGAACAAAACTGGAGGCATAGTCTTCAAGACTTCAGACAATACTACAAAGTTACAGTAATCAAAACACCACAGCATTGGCACAGAAACAGACATGGATCATATATGGATCAATAGAACAGGCTAGAGAGCCCAGAAATAAATACACACACCTACAGTCAATTAATCTTCAACAAAGGAGGCAAGAATATACAATAGAGAAAAGACAGTCTTTTCAGCAAGTCATGTTGGGAAAGCTGGACAGCGAAATACAAATCAATGAAGTCAGAAAAGATCGTCACACCCTACACAAAAATAAACTCAAAATGGCTTAAAAACATAAATGTAAGACATGATACCATAAACTCCTAGAAGAGAACATAGGCAAAACATTCTCTGACATAAGTCGTATCAATGATTTCTTAGGTCAATCTCCCAAGGCAATAGAAATAAAAGTAAAAATAAACAAAGAGGACCTAATCAAACTGAAAAGCTTTTGTTCAGCAAAGAAAACCACAAACAAACAAAAAGACAACCTACAGACTGGGAGAAAATACTTGCAAATGATGCAACTGATAAGGACTTAATTTCCAAAATATATAAATAGCTCATACAACTCAATAACAACAACAACAACAACAAACCAAAAAGTGGGCAGATGATCTAAGTAGACATTTCTCCAAAGAAGACATACAGATGGGCCACAGGTACATGAAAAGCAGCTCAGCATCACTAATTATTGAAGAAATGCAAATCAAAATTACAATGAGGTACTACCTCACATTGGTCACAATGGCTATCATTTAAAAATCTACAAATAATAAATGCTGGAGGGGGTGTGGAGAAAAGGGAGCCATCCCTACACTGTTGGTGGGAATGTAAACTGGTTCAGTCACTATGGAGAACAGTATGGAGGTTCCCTGAAAAACTAAAAATTGAGTTACCATATGATACAGTAATCCTACTCCTAGGCATATATCCAGAGAAAACTGCAATTTGAAGAGAAACTTGCATCTCTATGCTCATCGCAGCAGTGTTTACAATAGCCAAGACACGGAAGCACCTACATGTCCACTGATAGGTGAATGGATAAAGAAGGTGAGATATATATATAAAAGAATGGAATTTTTTAAAAAATGAAATAATGCCATTTGCAGCAACATGGACCTTATCATACATAATCAACATGGAGATTATCATATTAAGTGAAGTACATCAGAGAAAGACAAATACTGTATAATATCACTTACACATGAAATCTAAAATATGACACAAATGAACTTATTTTTGAAACAGAAACAAATTCACAGACATAGAGAACAGACTTGTGGCTGCCAAGGGAAAGTGGGATGAGGAATAACTTAGGAGTTGGGAATCAGGAGATACACACTACTATATAAAAAATGAACAATAAGGACCTACTGTACAGATCAGGGAACTATATCCAATATCCTGTAATAAATCATAATGGAAAATAACATGAAAAAGAATATGTATATATGTATAACTGAATCACCATACTCCAATAAAAAGAACTATTCACTGAAAGACACCATGGGTCTTTCCTGGTAGCTAGTGGTAAAGAATCTACCTGCCAATGCAGGAGACATGGGTTCAACCCTTGATCCAGAAAGATCCCACATGCCGCAGAGCAACTAAATGCCACAACTACCGAAGCCTGCACGCTCTAGAGCCCATGCTCCACAAAATGAGAAACCATTGCAATGTGAAGCCCACGCACTACAACAAGAAAGTAGCCCCTGCTCTCCACAATAGAGAAAAAAAAAAAAAAAAAACCCATGCAGCAACAAAGAACCGTCATAGCCAAAAATAAATACATGAAATTTTTCAAAAAAGAAAGACACCATGAACTCACACATCCATTGGAGTGACTCATATTAAAAAAAGACTAGTGACACCCAGTGTCACGAGGAAGTGGAGGAACCAGAATTCCCACACATTTGCTGTTTCAAAGATAGAATGTGACCATATACACACTTACATTCCTCAACATGCTGGGG